ACTCTTAGGTTGGAGGCCATGGCTCTTAGGTTGGAGGCCATCGCTCTTAGGTTGGAGGCCATCGCTCTTGGGTTGGACGCCATTGCTGTTAGGTTGGAGGACATCGCTCTTAGGTTTCTTTTGCTATTAGGTTGGAGGCAACTACACCTACCGGTTTCGTTGCGGTGGTGGCCAGTTGTGCCTCGCAACTCGGAACACGTTCACAGGCGGCTGGTCATTTCCCAGCCTTTAGCGAGCTTTGTTCACTCCCATCTTATAACAGCGCGAGGAGACCAGTTGGGAGACAGAGCAGATTGGAAAGGCTATGGCCAAAGCTCACAAAGTGGTTTTTGCCAGTGCTGCTCGCCAGAGAGAGTGGTCGCAACAAGACCATGGGCACTTCACAACTCTTCGACCATTTGTACGAAATGCCGGGCCCTGTGTTTCCGGCGTCTTGCGGGTTTAGGGAGGAGCGACGAGTCACATTGTGAAACATGCCATGCAAAAGCAATGTTGGTGAGATTCACAAGATTCATTGATTGCTTATTTCTTTATTTACTAGTAGCAAGATGCTACTAGGTGGAGGCCATCGCTATTAGGTTGGAGGCCATTCCTACTACTAATAACAAGAAGCTACTAGTTCCTAGTAGCGACCTAAAGACTCGACCTTTTTATCTGTAAAGAACCTATGCTTTCACAAGCTGCCAAGGTCAGTCTACTTCATGAAGGGCTCACGGCGCAGAATCGAAACCAGCTCCGGCAGATCATTCGGGCTGAGCATCATCTAAGGTCTGAAGACTTCATGATCACTGTCTTTGGATCAGATCCTTGCAAGACAGGACGAAAAACAAAGACACAGACATGACAGACAGAGAAGAACACAAGCACAAGTACCTTCTTTAGTTGTTCATGTTTTTTATACCTTTTTGGTGGGGAAGGTTGCTAGTGACTAGCTAGTGGCTTGAGTCAGCTAGTGGCACCTGCACCTGTAAGATGCTCAGAACGTTTTCGAGGGCAGAGTTGATTTTGTGAAAGCTGTATGAATACGTGCACTCGCACCTGCAACAGGCATTCAAACAACATTCGCTGGCTTGCGATCAACCTCATTCGTGCTGATGTTGCTCATTCTGTGGGGATCTCACTACCTCATGTGCATACAGTAGTTAATAGAGGAATCAAAAGCCAGAGAAAGGTGTAGGAAACGGTTCTCATATACATAAATAAATATATATACACACACTATATACTTTTTATTCTCAGGGAAATGTGTCTTTAGTCAACTTTAGTATTCTTTCCTTCTTTCTTTTTTCTTATTCGACAGGACGAGATCTCCTTTTGGGACATGTCTTGAACGTGCTGAACACGTCCTCGGAGCGTTCGTGGTTCGTCGCATCCTTTGGATCAACCAGCATCGCTCAGCGTGCCAATTTCATCTCCTTCGACTGGACCAACCTCGGGAAATACCTGGCAGCTGCAGACTTGCATGTGAATCGGCTGAAATACTGTCTTGAAGCCCTAGTACTAACCACACAGCCAAGTTCTTTTGTGTGTGTCTTGGGGCCTTCTGAGATGAACTGCCATGCCCTTGAAGTGCATTCATTTTTTGGTTGCGCGGTTCGCTGTTTGACTGTTTCCATCTTCAACAACTTGCGCACAATCCAACCCACCACATCGCCAATCGAATCGGCTGGGGTACAGGAGGTTTGGTAGGTGCAGAAAGACGCACGAAGCTAAAAGAACAGGATTCCAGGAGGTAAATTCTCCACCAGAATCAGCTGAATCATCCCGTTTCAGAGTGGAAAAAAGGGTTGAATCTCTATCTGTCTGTCTGTCTGTCTGTCTGTCTATCTAATGTATCTTTTGGGACAGTGACCAAGCACCGGGGCCCAAACTTGGCGAGGTTAACAGGTGAGTGGCTGGCAGAGTGGTCTGTCGCCAGCTCTCTTGAGATGCTCTGTGCGCTCTCATCAGATCAGGCTTTTCTTAGGTTGGAAGCCATCGCTATTAGGTTGGAGGCCATGGCTATTAGGTTGGAGGCCATCGCTATTAGGTTGGAAGCCATCGCTAT